CGCCCCCTCCCCGCGCCCGCCCTCGCGCGTCTCCTGCTTCCTGCAGGCGCCGGTTGCCATGACGACGCTGCGCCCGGGCCTCTGCGCGCTAGGCCTGGGCAGGGTTTTCTTTCTCTTTCGGTCTGTTTTTTCTGTGTCTCGCTCTCTTTCTCCTCTCCCTTCCCCTCCTCCTTCTTTCTCTCCAAATTCCTCCCGCCGCCCGAAAGGACTAAGCTAAGGAAGTACTGGCCTCTAGTGGGGGGACTCACCTCGGAGAGGACAGGGAGATGGGGGAGACGGGAGGGAAGTGACGTGCAAGGGGGAAAAAGGTATTTTCTGCAGCTTCAGGGAATAAGGATAGAAAGAAAGGATCAGAGGGACCCACAGGCAGAGAAGGGGAGAGCGAGGCAGAACCTCCTGAGCAGCGGTCTTCCGAGAGAGGAAATAAATAGGAGGGAAGAAAAACTTTGAGACTTAGGGAATGCCGAGAGAGTGCTGATTGTTTAGTCCCTCGCCTCAACTCCTAGAAGGCGGGAAAGAACGCAGCACAAAAACCGTACCCGTTAGCAGCCGTTCTTCAGTTCAAAGCAGGAACCTCCTGCAACTTGCTTTGAATCGCATTTCAATCTGCGGTGTCAGGGCTGTTTGGGTACTTGTGTATCTTTAAAGTCAAAGACACGTAAAAGAATTAGGACTAAAACAATGGAAACGGCGGGGTATAAAGGGATGGAGAACAATGGTGCTGCATTTGAGAAGACTAAGCTTTTGGTGGCGGGAGACTCGGTTTCGTTTATGATACCAATTGATCAGCTTTTAGTAATTCACTCTTTTTTGAGTGTTCCAGGAGCACCTACGGCGTCCCAGCCGCTCTGGGGAGTTTGAATCTTATCAGTGCACCCAGCGGAGATAACTGCTCTCATTAACCTTTAAGGAAGGGGTGTTGCCTTGTTGCCGAATAGCTGAAATTGTTGCCACCGGACTCTTGCCAACCTCTGCTCTGGACAGTTTTCTCTTTGTTCCCTCCTTTGAAAGTCCATGGGTGATTTATGTTTAGAGAAAAAGATTGAAACTCTATAAATTAGATGCCTTTGGGTTTGTATTGACTCACGCTCGTGATTTATAATAGCCAGGTTTGTGTCAGCTGAGGTCTCTGCCAGGCTTCTAGGAACCAGTCAGACAAGTATGCAAGGGGAGAACCCCAAAGGGCAGCCAAAGGACTGGAAAAGCAAAAACCTGGGGTGTGGAGAGGTGAAAAGGGTTTGCTGCCAGACCATGGAGGATGAGGTGTTGGCTGGAGGTGAATTGGCAATTAGAACTGGTAGTTTAAAATTAGGTAAAAATGACTCACTTCATTCAAACCTAGATTTTTGGCATCAAAGAACTAAAGCTTTTTTTGCAGTGGCTTACAAGTGGCTATATTGAGCTTAAGCTGAATTTAACACCAACGAAAGGATCTATAGATGATTTCCTTCAGATTATACAGCCAAGAAACATTGCTCCTGTGTGTGGCTTCACTGGAGAACTATCCCTGTTAATGTGTCTGAAGATGGCCTGTAATTCATCTCAGAATAAGGAATCCAGACACCAGAGGTGTTCAACGTGACACTTATTTTTCCCATACTTTAGAACTTAGGAATAAGCTAAAGGACCAGAATTGGAGCAGAATTGCTACTACTGCATAGAGCTGCATTCCACCTCGAGATTTTATTTTTTCATCATTGGCTCTTTCATGACATTAAGAGATAAAATAGGCTTATAGAATTTTATTGAGCGCCTAGGAATAATCTGTCACAGGTCATGTTGTATTGATTATGAGTCGGTCATTCAAGTCTTAAGTAAAGTTCCCTCCAAAACAGGTCTGTTTTTCTAGGTCATCAGTCTATGTAATTCCCACCAAGATAAATTTATATTTTTTAAAAAAAAAAAAAGTGTATTGATAGCAAACTGAATTTACAGGAAAGCCTCCATTCACAAAAAAAAAAATCATTTTCATAGCCTAAATTATCTTGAGAGCAGTCATCTTGGTTTAAACCAAGCAAAATAATTTTTTCCCCTAGAGAATCTTCAGCTGACTTTCCCCCTTTTTTTGTAATTTTGCTAACCTTTTTCATTTCCATTTAATGATTCTTCTGGAATTAGTCTTTTTTTTTTTCTTTCAAAGCAAACAGTTCAATTGAATGGAGGCTGAGTAATTTCTTTGCTCTGCATGACACTGAAGGCCATTAGCCTAAACAGGTGAAAAGGAAATGCATTCAGCCTGTTTTGTAGAAACCCAAGCCCTCCTGCAAACTTATCTAAATAAGGAAGGATCAGGATTTGAAAGAAAATTTGGCAGCAACAAAAGAAATAGAAAGTAAGCTTTTACACATCTTTTTACACAACTTTTACACATCAACTGACCATTGAATAACAGCCTTAAGCTGCTCTTCTAAATCCGACATTATGTAGTCAATTGTGAAGAAATAGTTCTTTCTCCAGGCCTGTTATTAGCATGTAGTATCCACAACTAATCAAGTGAAAATGAGTGAACACGTTTTTATGCAAATATGGGTAGAATGTAGAGAAGAAAGGACAGCCTTTCTCTAAAATGTATCAACTGGGCAAGAGGTGGTACAAGGCTAGCAACCAAAACATAAAATGTATCAATCATTCCTAGTAGACATCCCTTCTCATCTTGCCACAGTTATCCCCACTACTTAAGGTCTAGTTGGGAGAAAAGGAACACTAAGAACACTTCTAGACACTAATTTTTTTAATCTATTATTTTTATTTTATGCATATGAGTGTATTGCGGGCATGTATGTAAGTGCGCCCATGTCATGCAGTGCCTGAGGAGGCCAGAAGAGGGTGTTGGATCTCCTGGAACTGGAGTTACTATGGACGATGGTTAGCCTTCTGGGTGCTGGGATTCAAACCTGGGTGTTCCAGTGCTCTTAATTGCTGAGCCATTTCCCCAACACCCCCTCCCATACACACACACTCTAATATTATTTTAAAGTAAAGTGCTATCCAAGTTCTTTGGTTTTCAATGGAGAAAAACACATTTCAGGACTGGAGCTCAGTGGTAGTTCATCAACACACCTAAGGCCCTAAATTCGATCCTCAGCATCACAAGAAATAAAGTAAAATGTGTAATAAATTTTAGTTAACTATTCTCTCAAATGAAAAGAATATAGAATTAAAAGATATTAAGAATGCCTCTCTGTCTGGAGAGATCGCCCAGCAGTTAAGAGCACTGACTGCTCTTGCAGAGGTCCTGGGTTTGAATCCCAGCACCCATATGGCAGCTAACAACCATCCATTTATCCAGTTCCAGGGGATCCAACACCTTCTGACCTCCATGGGCACTGTTGGACACAGGTACACTTACATACATGCAGGTAATACACTCATACACATAAAAACAAAAATAATTTTTTTTTAAGTTCTAAAAATGCCCCTCACCCCTTGCCATTACCAGCTTAGTTCGTTTCTTCAAAGCAGAAGGGTTTTTTGTTGTTTTTGAGACAGGGCTTCCCTGTATCCCCAACTGATCCAGAAATCTCTAAATGGACCAGGCTGCCCTCAGTCTTAGAGATTCCTGTCTCCAGAGTGCTGAGATTAAAGGCATGCATATCACACCTGGCATTCAAAGCAGAAGTGTTTTGGTTTTGATTTCTTTGGTCTTTTTTGAGACAGGGTCTCCCTGTAGTCCCAGCTGGCCTGGAACTTGCTATGTAGACCAGGCTGGCCTTGAACTCACAGAGCCTGCCTCTGCCTCCTGAGTGCTGGGGTTAAAGATGTACACCACCATGCCCAGCAATCAAAGCAGGAGAGAGAGAGAGAGAGAGAGAGAGAGAGAGAGAGAGAGAGAGATATGCCGGGCATTTATTTGGTTTGTTTATTTGCTATTTTTGAGACGGGCTCCCTGAAGCCTCAGCTGGCCTGGAACTCATTATATAGACCAGGCTGGCCTTGAACTCACAGAGATCCGCCTGCCTTTGCCTCCCTAGTGCTGGGTTTAAAGTTGTATGCCACCATGCCCAGCTGGTGCTGGGGATTTAACCCACAGCTTCCCTCACAGGCAAATGTTTTATAGCTAAGATATACCCCCATCCCCTATCTGCAAATCTTTAAGTAGCATAAGGCTGACAATAATAGAATTCATTGGTTTAGACAGTTATATTTGGGGGCAGGAGGGGAGGGGTTGAAACAGGATCTCCCTATAGCCTCACCTGGCCTAGAACTCGCTATATAGACCAGGTTGGTGTCCATCTCACAGAGATCCACATGCCTCTGCCTGTCAAGTGCTGGGATTAAAAGAATGCAGCCCTAGACAGTGACTGATGGCAAGTCATGCATTTCTGAACTTGGGTTTTCTTTCAGTAAGATGGGGACAATACTAGCAGTTGAGGGAAATAAGTGAGATGTTTATAAGGTATTTCATACAGTACCTGACCCAGCACAAGCTATTCTAGTAACCCAATACTTTTTTGTGATTCTCAAATGTATCAAACCATTCTTTGTGGTTTATTTAGTTTACATCATTACTTTATTAATTCACAATTTAGTCAACAAGTTTATATATTAATGAGTTTAATTAATGAGCATTCCCTTCCTGGTGCACTAAATTCACATTTGTAAGGCTTCAAATGTACTTTTCTGGTTACTATTTGAGAAGTTAGGGTACAAATTCATGTTAAGACCAAACTCCAGATTTATACCCTCTGGTGTTATGTTCCCTAGGCCAAGAGAGCTAAGCACCTGGGAAGAACTCTAAAGGGGAAAACTATTCAAACATGTCGTGCAGTGCCGACCAAGGCC